TTGGGTTTTTTTGTTTGTTTGTTTGTTTGTTTTTTTTGAGACAGGTCCTCTCATTGGAACCTGGTGCTCACTGATGAGGCTAGATTGGCTAGTCACTGAACACCCAAGATCTAGTCACCTGTCTCTGCCTCTCTAGTGTGGGACTCTAAACGGGACCAAACTCAGGTCCTCATGGACTTCATGCACTGAGCTGTCTCCCCAGTCCCAAGTCCTGAATTTATTTGGGGATTGTATGCATATGTACCATGTGCCTACAGGGGCTTGCAGAGGTTGGAAGAAGGCATCAGACTTCCTAGAGCTAGACAGAGTAACAGGTGGTTAGGAGCTACCATGTGGGTGCTGGGAATTAAACACAGATCTTCTACAAAAGCTGTAAGCACTCTTAACCACTGAGTCATCTCTCCAGCACCCCCTACCCTAACAGTTCTAAATGTAAGGATAGGTTCAAACATTTAGCCTGAAAAAAGTAGAACCTGGGCATCATGGGCTCAAAATTTACATATTTTCCCATCACTTAGCTTTTATTGATAGATAATGTTGCATTTGAGGGAAGCAGTTCAAATTTGCTTGTTCTGGAAATAACGTTCTATGCTAGAGGTAAGAATTGGCTTACCTGAAAAACAAGTTATTAGTGATAATTTTTGGTGACTCCTATAACTTTGAGAGATGGTGGGCTTATTTGGGCTGATGGTGGAGGAAGAACTGTTTTTGGAAGGAATCAAATAGATGGTTTGATGATTATGAAACCCCAAGAGAGATTATGTCATCTGGTTCAAAAGTTTTCTGGAACAAATGACATTACTGATTATCGGAAGTATTTTTAATTAGCTGAGCTCAATCCAAAAGGAGTACAAGCCCAAGCCAACAGAGGAAGTTTATTGAACTTCCTATTTAAAACAGATGTTTTATCAGGATTTCTGAATGTGATAATAGGATTGTATCCCAATGTAGTTTATGGAACTTGGAAATGCACAAAAACAGTGTCTAGGTATTCTCCCTTCTAAATGGTACATAGGATGCAGGTGGGTAAGTTACCTGGAGCACACCGAGCTCGAAGATGAGGTTTGTAAGCTTTCAAAAGGGAAGAAGTAAGCTGGTGTGGGTCCTCCACAGAGTCCCAGCTAGGGAGGGGAGCATGGAACAGGGAGGCAGCTGCAGGGCAGCTGATGGGCAACAGCCACCAGGAATAGTTCTCTTTAAGTTGATGTAGAATTTTCTATGGTCAAACATATCCTCCTCCCTAAATGCAAAGCCCTGACACAAGGTGAGGTGCCACCATGATTTGTCTTTGCTGTGTGAACTTAGAGTTTAGCTGTTAGACTAGTTTGGTTGAATTTACTACAGGGTTGCATTTGTAGAGCTTAAGAGTTCTTTGTAGATATTTTGGCAGAGTAAAAATACTCACATTGCATGGGAGGGAGGTAATGCCTTGCGAGGGAGGACATCTTTCCAACTTCGCAGCCAAAGCACTCTCCCAGGAAGAAGGAGAATTCCAACTTGCTGTTATATCCCACTCCAGCACCCAAGGGAATGCTCCCTGAATTTCTCCCCCAATCTCACCCCATTCATGTGTCTTTGCAATCCAAGTCATCTGGTTGGCTAAAAGTTCTGTGGAACCACTCACAGGAGGATAGGTGCTTAGTAAGGTCAGAAATCAAGCAAAATTCGGAATTGATAACATTTAATTTGCTTTGCATGGAACTTATCTAATAGCTAGTGTGACAAAATAATGGATTAGTACCATCTCACAACAAAGTCAGAATAGCAAATAAAGTGTTTGCTATCTTGCCCAAGGTTCCTTAAGGAGAAAACAGCATGATAACAAGCGAAAGAAATGGAAAATGTTTAGTGTATCATATGTATATGATAGTCACAATTTTAAGATTTTTCTTTCAATTAGAAAAAAAAAGAAAATTATGTTGATAAGTGCCTGGGTATCAGAAGTTCCCAAGTCTAAGTTTTTTGTTATTTTGACCTTGTCAATAAGTGGTATTTAACTACGATTATTGGTCTTTACTATTTATTAAATACTTTACAAATTACAATTGTCACAAAGGTGTAATTACAGAAATAGGAAATTGTTACACAACTGTTCCTGGTCATAATAACCTCTCCTTAGAGACCCCAGGGGACTGGTACTTTGGGCCCTTTTCTGGGATACAATGAAAGCTTTTTAAGAGGTGCAAAAATATTTGCCAAGTTTGTTACCATTATCAATAATAAAAATTTAAATAATATTTATGGGTTTATTACTCTCCTCACCTCCTCTCTCTCTCTCTCTCTCTCTCTCTCTCTCTCTCTCTCTCTGTGTGTGTGTGTGTGTGTGTGTGTGCCATAGAACATATAACTTGGTCAGAGGACAACTTACAAGAGTCCATTATCTCTCCCATGTGGGTCTTGGGGATCAAACTCAAGCCATTAAACATGAGTCATCTTCACTGAGCAATCTTTCTGGCCTCTCAACAATTTTTTTTTTAAACTAATGATCAACTTCAAAACCGTATGCTGAACAATATTTATTTCTCATAAGTTCAGGTGTCAGATGAATGATTCTTATTTGAGTTCATTTCATATTTTGGGAAAAAGATCACAAGCAATTACAGATTTTTATTATGAAGGCAAAATTTATATACAACAACCCGTCGTTTGGGAATATCAAGTATTTCTGACAGTCTATTATAAATATACACACTTACATATCAGTTGCTAGTTTGCTGATTTAAATGAAGCCAAGTAGTGAGACCATGATATTGTGTCTCCATGTAAACCCACAGCCAACCCTTCACCAAATATGAATTCGAAAGTCATTGTTGTGTGGATTGTACAATGATAGGATTAAGAGAAGGCAATTCTGGGAATGAAGAGGCTTGCACACGTAGAAAGATGTCAAAGTCAAAAATGTTAGCCACGCAGGGGACCTTACAGGGATTTCTGGAACCTTTATTGTTTGTCCTGGATGAGAACAAAGATTCTGAGTTGCATCCACAGTAAGACTGATTCTGGTTTCCTCTCTGACATTTGTTTCTGTGCTCCCCTAGGGAAGGATATGGGAAGATGCTTATATCCTGGAAGGGGGATTTTCGATGTAGGTCTGTTGAAGATTCCTTAATGGATACTATGTAAATTTTTAAAAAGTATTGAGTAGGAAATAGTATCTTAATATTAGATGATGATTTCTACATAATATCTTAGTAAGTGCTTTTATTTTCCCGGCTTGAAAATGGATCCAATTTTAGAGTTTTCAAAAGTGTTTTTGGCTCTAGAGAAACAATATATATATATATA